GTATCCAAAAACAATTTCTCCTTACCTGAAAAAGACCCAAATCAACTAGGTGAGTAAACGAGTTACTCAGTAGGATAATGCGTATGTGTATAACCTAAAGTTTCAACAGTTTTGCAAGTGTAATATAAACGGTTACACGTGGTATATGCCACCTAATATCTATGTTCAAGTGGAACTATGGGATCATCCTAAAGCTATCATAAGACATTTTAAACGCAAACCACAATAATTGGAGCAATTAAACAACATTGGAATAGCCAATACAAAACAGCAAGTTACAACGTCTTAATGTTATATATTAACTTGGAACGAAAATGTGAAATCAAACAAATGTGGATATACTTGGACATCTCATCGGAATAAAACCAACATGTTTGGTTCCTTTTAGGTTACTAGCCTATGGGCAACCTCCCTAATTGTGCACTAAGTTTGGGGGAAACTCGTATCTCCTGCACTAGAGCCGTGCCCTATGATATCAAATCAAGCTACAACTATGATATCATTATATGAAATCCATTCATTAAAGTATACAAAAAGTTCCAAATCCATGATTTAAACATCAATACAACATCAAATACACAATTAAATCAATGGAAATAATTACATAGAATTTCTAAAATTACACAATTAAAATCTTTAGATTTCAAAACATCACTAAATGAATTCAAGTTAAAGATTAAGTATAAGCCTTAAATAAAACAAAGCCCTAAGTTAATTTCATGTTATATATATCTATATACAACCCTAAAATTCAAAAATAACATGTAAACAATGTATATCAACTCTAAGAACACAATAAAACAATAAGGGTATAAATATAAGACATTCCCTACCTCACTAGAGGATTGAACCTCTAGAATCCAAGCAAACGAAATCAAATGGAAAAACTGAGCAAAGATATTCTAGAGAAGGAAGGAGGAAGATTTGGTTTTCAAGGTGGAAGACCAAAAACGCAAAGGAAGGGTGTCAAAAATCAGAAATATCGGCTAGGGTTTCAGGGTTTATCAAAGTACCTCACTAGAGGATTGTTCCTCTAGAATCCAAGGCAAAAAAAAGTAAATGGAGAAACTGTGAAAAAATGTTCTAGAGAAGGAATAGAGGAAGATTCTGTCTTCAAGGTGGAAGACCAAAATCTCAAGGGAAGGTGTTCGAAAATTAGAAAGGGAGGCTAGGGTTTCAAGGTTTATCAATGTACCTCACTAGAGGATTCCGTATTTGAGATTCATTATCGCATTGGTTTCAGGTTAATCACAGACGCATCTGGTTCTTCGAAACACGGGCCGTCACAAAAAATGTACTTTGCAGTTGTCTTAGGTTGAGTACGTTGAACGGGTTCTGAAAAGGTTCAATGTGATTAATAATGTTAAGGCATGCCTTTAGCTAGTCACTTGCGATTATCTCAAGATCAGTGTCCAAAGATAAAGGGTGAGAAAACTTTCATGGCTCAAATTCAGTATGCCTCAGCCATTAAAAGTTTGATGTAAGTCATAGTGTGCACAAGACCAGACATTGCATATTGTGTGGGAGTAGTAAGCAGGTTTATAAAGGATCCGGGCAAGCTACATTAGAAGAAATGAAGTGGATATTGAGATATCTGCAGGGTACCACATATAGATGCCTATGTTTTAGAAAGGGCAAGGTGAAGCTATAAGGGTATGTAGATGCAGACTTTACTGGTGAGGTGGATCACATAAAAAGTATTACTGGGTATGCTTTATAGTGAGTACAACTGCAGTTAGTTGGGTTTCACATATACAGAAGATTGTAGCATTATCTACTATAGAGGAAGAGTATGTGGCAGTTACAGAGGCCAATAAGGAGATGGTTTGGTTACAAGGTTTGTTGGCAAAGTTGGGATTCGAACAACTGAAGTGTGTTTTGCACAGTGATAGTTAGAGTGCGATACATCTGGCAAAAAATTCAGCATTTCATTCAAGGACCAAACATATAGGACTATTAGTATCACTTCATTAGATCATTGTTAGAAGATTGAGTGTTGACACTTGAGAAGATACTTGGAACTAAAAATCCAACTAACATGTTGACCAAGTCACTGACTATGGAAAAACTCAAACTGTGCGCAGCTTTAGTTGGTTTTCTAGCTTGAAGATAAAGATGAGTGCACCAACATGCATTAAACATGCAGGCGAAGATAATGGAATGAGTTTACAAGTGCTCCAGCTTCCAAGTAAGAGATTGTTGAGGTTTGTGGAGTATGATCATGTGTTGGGATCACGTTGTGAAGAACTTGGAGCTGTCAAATTTGTAGATTTTGATGTTCATTTTAGCTATAGACCAAAATGGACCTATCCTAATATTTTGAATTGGTTCCACTTATGGCATTGCGAAGTTATGTTGGCTACTAGCCAAAATAAACTGGTTCCGTTTTTCTGAACCGGTCCCGCTTGGGTTCTGGAACGATGTTTTGTCAAGATGTACTAGTTACCTTTTTTTGGAACTAGTGCGTGAATTGTTTCCAAGTTAATTTATGACTTTCCAAAAAGGCAAGATGTGTGAGCTAGGCAAGTTATGTTCCTTTGTCTAGGATAATTTCTATCAACCCTAATCAGATTTTAAGGCAGAGTTTGAATAATTGAATTAATTTGTGCCTACATAAGAGAGAACAATAGAGAGAGACTGAGAGGAAATTCTCCATTGTAATCCTATATCTTTTTCATAGTGAAATTTGTTCGGCGTGCTCCGTGGACATAACCCTATGTTTTAGGTGAACCACGTATATCTCGTGTTCTTGTGTGTGATTGTTTTTTATTTTTCATGCTTACTTGTTTTACTCCTCGGACATCATTGATTTTGGGTTTCCGCACACAACTAGTACTAGAGCATTCGACTGTTTGGTTTTTAATGAGTAATAACCCCAAGGGGTTGGCTCTAGTGGTGAAGCCTGGGACTTAGTGCCTCATAAAGCAGAAAGTCTCAGGTTCAAATCTTCTCGAGTGCAATCAATTCTTTAGGGGTTATGACCGCAGACTTAGTATGAGTTTTACCTAATTCATGTGGAGGAATCGCTTTTCTTTGGTACGTCCTGTGGATTAATCAGGGCGAAGCCCTGGACACCTTGATTATCGAAAAAATAATCTAAGTAAATGAAAAATGCTACCAGGAATACATTAACAAATCCATGCAACATTCACTCAAGTTAGAAAATTGGATGATCTTTTTTCAAATTTTTTGTCTAGACCTCTATTGGAACTTTGAATTACTGTTACCAGAGATATGGTAGCCATAAATGATAGGGGAGATATGGTACATTATATCCCATGATTTATGGCTACCATATCTCCGCTAATAATTACTTTACTTATATATATATTATAGAGAGAGAGTAGTGATCTCTTACTGCCGTAGAGTACGAAAATTCTTCTGCAGTTTCTATAACAACCATTTGATTAAATCTAATGGTCAAATTCCAAATCTACATATATGGTTTCCTTTTAATACAAAACCACTATCAGTATTTTTAGTTTCCAAATGTAATATTTACCAATACCACTAATTACAACAATAAAAGGTAAGTATCAAAAAAAATAAAAATAGAAATCTCGAAATCACGTCTCCCACTAATCGGATTTTTGTTTTCTTTGAGGAAAAAAAATAATAATGTGTTAGAAAATTACATCCATTACTTGATACTAACATTGACATTTCCTATTTGTTTAAGTGTGAAAAATAAATTAAAATTTACACTATCGACAAACGAAACATAGGCTCAAAGATAATAAAAAATTAAAATAAAATCTCTCTCTCTCTCTCTCTCTATATATATATATATATTTATCCACTTGAGTTGATCAAGGTAACCTGTGATTTGCACAACACTTCACCCATAAAAATTTAATAGATTATAATTTAAATTATTGTATACCTTCCTAAATACATGATATTTAAAAATTAAAAATTAATTTTATTTTTCTATGGCCCCTTTGTTACAAATTGTCTTCTCTTCCTTATTAATTTTGTTTTATTTTTTTCCAGATTCTAACTAGTTGTAAACACATTCAAGTATATTAGTGTCATAGTAAGTCTGCACAATATCTTGTTTCTAGTTCTACTATAATAACAAATATTTATTGACGTAATGAGGTAATTCACTACAAAATATGCTAATATTCTATGAAATTTCATATTTTCTTTGTAAATTAGTTATTTTTCTTAGTGTTTTCGTTAATATTGCTATTATTAAACTATCATCAAATTTTTTTTTTTTTTTTTTGGTAAGTTAAAAAGGCATGAAAGGCAGCTAATTAAGATGTAAAGTTATAACAAAGACATCAATCCACCACTATTATTACATGACAGCCCCATTTCGATTTGATCACATACCAATTACAGGATACAACAAATTGAAAGATTTTATCATGGCTATTAGGTTTTGGGATACTAGTCATCAACTCTAGCATATGAACAAAAATGTTTTGAATCATTGAATGAATGTAGAGTTTGAAAGAACCAAAAAAAAATGCTTGCTTTTAAAGACTCATTTAAAATTCAATGATTATTTATTGTCTATCTCTAGAGGAGAATCTAAATGAGGACATCTTCACGTCTTGGACTTCTGTAATTTCTTTTTCTCACTCAAAAGATTAGGCAAAGTCAACTTTAGTATTAAGTGATGGATACAATTTTGTAAAACTTTTTTTTTTTTTTATTTTTTTCAAAGAAAACAAAAATTCTAAGATGTGATTTTCTAGAAAACTATTTTTATTTTTTTTGGTACTTATCTTTTATTGTTATAATTAGTGGTATTAGTAAATATTAAATTTGAAAACTAGAAATAATGATACTGGTTTTGTAATAAAAAGAAAGCATGTAGGTGGGTTTGGAATGTAACCATTAAATTTAATCTAATGGTTGATATAGAAAGTGCGGAAGAATTTTCTTACTCCATGGAGAGCAAGAAATTAGGTGACAATATTAATTTACAAAAAATATGAGTATATCTATGGGTCTCTTTCCTATAATTTATGGATTTTGGAGTTCAGGTGAAGGAGGATAATTTTACGAGGTTGTGCGTCACCAAAAGCATGTTGACAGTAAATGGAAGTTTTCCAGGCCCAGTGCTTCGCGTCCACAAGGGTGATACAGTGTTTGTTAATGTTCACAATAAAGGAGACGAAGGAGTCACTATTCACTGGTAATAATAATAAAAAAAATCTTTCATAAGAAATAAAAATAAAATAAAGGACTAAAATTGATGCATGTCTACATTTACAGGCATGGAGTTAAGAATCCTGGAAATCCATGGTCTGATGGTACAGAGCACATCACGCAATGCGCAATCCAACCGGGTTCAAACATGACTTACGAGGTTAAATTTACAGCAGAAGAAGGGACCTTGTGGTGGCATGCCCATAACGATTGGACACGAGCCACGGTCCACGGTGTCATCGTTGTTTTACCTGCTGTTGGAACCACTTATCCATTTCCCAAGCCTGATGAGGAAGAAATAATTGTTCTTGGTATGCATACAAATATATATGCATTCATAAAGCAATCCTAATTACATTTGCATAGCAAAGCCCCGCACATCTTATTCCTCCTTGCCTTTTCTACTTGCAGCAGCATGGTTCGTCGAAGATGTGAATAGAATGGTTTCTCATAGCCTAAAAAAGGGACAGGATTTCAACCGTTCAAATGCTTTCACAATCAACGGCCAACCAGGAGATCTCAATCCATGCTCCAATGGTACATATATATATATATATATATCAGCTAATGTATGTATGCATCAGTACTTGCTGCTTCTGTAGTAGTGGCAGCATTGAGCCATATACCTAGTTAATCATGTTTCACATGTTGCAGAAACAATGTACAGATTGGTAGTTGACCATGGCAAGACTTACCTACTTCGAATACTAAACGCAGCAACAAACCAGGAACTCTTCTTCTCAATTGCGCAACACAATCTCACAGTTGTAGGATTAGACGGGGCTTACATCAAACCTATAGTCACCAATTATATCATGATAGCCCCTGGACAAACAATGGATATTTTGGTCACTGCAAATCAGTCTCTCAGTCACTATTACATGGTTGCCCGGGCTTATTACAGTCCAGATGGTGATAAGTTTGATCACGCAGCCGCCACAGCAATTCTCCAGTACAGAGGAAACTACACTCCGCCAGCCTCTCTAGTCTTTCCAACTCTACCTGCTTACCATGACAATGAAGCTGCTGATAACTTCACAATCCGCTTCAGGAGCTTAGCTAGCGAAGACCACCCAGTAAATGTTCCGAAGGATTTCACTACGCGTCTGTATATAGCAGTTTCTATAAACACATTTTACGTTCCGGAGGGCTCACCATTGCAGGAAGAGTATAACGAGCATTGGCTTGATGCAAGCTTGAACAACATAAGTTTTAACTTCCCACGTACCAATATTCTGGAAGCCTACTACAGGTATTAATTACTATTGCCCATGAAACTTAGAATACATAGTTGTGAGTAAATTTATGTATATAAATGTGTGCATATACATGTATGTAACTAATGCATAAGACTGCAACTTCTTCTTGGCCGTAAGTAATTGAGTATAAACTAAAAAGGGTAAACTAATGTACAAAGTTCAAGGGGGCATACCCCAAGTTAACCACATCTATAAATCGAGAAAGTCTCTGATATTCTAAGTGTATTTACACGTGGTGCCCCTAGTCCAGGGACAATCATGAAAACTCTCATTTTGTGTTGATACACTAGAAATGGAGAATTTTCAATAAAAAGTATATGACTTTCCATCAGCTAGGGACACAACATGAACAATACCCCTGGCGTATTGTAGACTTTCTCCTATAAAACTCCCACTCCACCAAACTAAAAGAAACCAAAATAATACTTTGCATCTCACAGTGTAGAAGTGGATATACTAAGTAGATAAACAAAGAAAGAAAACATGCGTAGAAGGGATCAAAATAAAGCCAACATGATGCCTAACAAAATCTTTGTAACGGCATCGCAGAGAATACATATTTGTTTCAATCCGAATTTGAAAATGATTTGATATTACTGTAAAATGTTTTTCTTTTTTACAGGAACTTGAGTGGGATTTACGACACACATTTCCCAGATGAACCACCCAAATATTATGATTTCACGGGACCAGATTTGGGCTCAGACAACTACACAATACCAAGCGTGGGGACGGAGGTGAAGGTGCTGAACTATAATGAAGCTGTGGAGATAGTGTTCCAGGACACCAATGTGTTGAATACATCACAGAATCATCCAATGCACCTGCATGGATTTAGCTTTTATCTGGTAGGAGCTGGTTATGGGAATTTCAACAACGAGACTCATCCAAATTCTTATAACTTGGTTGATCCACCTTTACTTAACACGGTAGGAATTCCAAAGAATGGTTGGGCTGCCATCAGATTCATAGCAGATAATCCTGGTAAGTAACTTAATTCAGAAAATTAGATGTAGGATGTCAGCTTGGACCTAAAACCTAGCAACTAGGTTTAATTCTATTGTCTATGAATGACGGGTGGGATGAAGAAGTCTCTAGGAAATGATAAAGATCGAGAGTCTTACTTCTTTCTGTCTGCTTGAAAAAAAGGAAGAAAAGAAATGCCGTAGATTTTATCATCAATCAAAATCTTCTTACAATAAAGGAAGAATCTAAAATAAAATTGCAAGTGTCTTTCTCTTCCTCTCTTTAATTTGGTTTGGTGGGCGAGGAAAACAATCCGACCTCCTCTATCCCTCCCTTTCTTCCCAACAAACTTGGATAGGAGGAGTTGAGGGGAAAAAAGAAAAGGAGAAGAAGAAGAAAGGAGTAGGGAGAGTTAATTTACATCATGTTTGGTTTAAATATGAGGGAGAAAAAAGAGAGAAAATGAGGTAGGAGGGATTTGTTAACCCTTTATATAGTAATTTTCCATTTCTTTCAAAGGTAGGAGATGAGAATTACCTTTAGTTAATTTGTGAATTTCTGCTTTTACATATTAAAACATTTCTTTCGTTTCCTTTGCTTTTCCTTTCTCTCTCAAAAATGATGATGGATTTACTACTATTATTTCCTCTTTTTTGCTTCATTATCTAAAAATGTGCAGGGTTTAATACTAATCATCTACTTTTCTTTCTTTTTCCCCCTCAAGTCTTAGTTAGTACTATAATATCCTTTCCTTTTCTTTCCCCTACTTATCACTTATCCTAATTTACTGTAACAACTTTATCAATTATTTTTCTTTTCCTTCCTCCCCTCCCTGTTAGTCCTTCAAATATTCCCTTCTAAGAGACCAACTGACTAAGAGCTTAATCAAAAAAATTGGCCTCACTCAAGAAGTATTTGCACACCCCCCCTCCCTATCTTTTAAGGCAAGCCTTAATTAGATAAAATATTACTCGAGATTTACACATACATCATCATTAATTATGACTAGATCTATTTGATTGATCCTATGATGCTCCTATATAACAAAAAAAAGGCTTCGCCTATTGGTTAAAATTAGTACTATCTCATTAATTTTAAAAGTGACAGATTCTTAAAATGATAAATGATGACTTCTGTAGGTGTATGGTTCATGCACTGTCACATGGAACGACATACTACCTTGGGTATGACCACTGCTCTCATTGTGAAGAATGGCGACACCTCTGAGACGAGTATGAGTGAGCCCTATCCTTACATGCCAGAGTGTACAGTTCCACTGGACTCCAAACTCCAGGCATCAAAGTTTTCGGGAGAAATATGAGCTAAAGATTGTCATTTACCCTAATTTTTCAATATTATATTTCCCATATGTTGGTTCTGTTATTCACCAAGGTGTGTTTCCCTATTTAATGTCAAAAACCTGTATTTCTATGCCTTATGTCTGTGGAATAGTGCACTTTGTCTTAAATCATCTTTGAGTGGCTGTATGGTCTTTTACCAGCCTATGATAATATCTCACAAGGATTTGAGGTAGTACAGTGCAGTCAATATATATGATCAGATCATTATCCTGTGTAAATTGAGGTTCACAACCTCATATTTGGCTACAGGTCTCTTCAGGGGAATTAATGTATTTTTACAGCTGTTAAGCATATTTATACACTTGCTCGAATAGATACATTGCATAAAATGGCATTGTTTGACCCTACATTGTGGAATATACAGTCTCAAGATAGGTATTGAGCTGCAGCTGACATGTGTTGTTTGAAGGGCAATTTAGTCTTTCTACAATGTGTATAGATATGTGACACATGGCTGTGGTCCTTGATTATATATTCATACACTGATATTATATTGCTTAGAGGCTAAGTTTTGAGAAAGGATCCATTGCAACCTCATTTACATGAGCTGTATACGCTGGTGCATAAGGTGACAAAACATGCTGAGGTGGCAGGGGTACAATTGTCCTTTTACAGTGAGAATGTCAGAATTGTCCTTGTGCAATCATTGGCTAATGGTGATAGCTAACACTCTGTGTGAAGGAGCCAAGTATTTGTGCTGCTCTATACATATGCTGCTATAAAGTTTTTAAGTTTAAGGCTGATACCGAAAATCCAAAAGGCAACCTGCATTGCAATTCTCTCGAGACCTTCCTATGAGCCAAGTTTTCTGAGCTCATTGATTATGATTCACACCAGAAAAACCTACTAGATCAAGCCTTATTTGTGTACTTACTATGGAGATTATGCTGCTATTAAGGCTGCTGGTGCAAGGGCTGGACTAAGGTGTGAAGCTGAGCTCAAGGCTGCTGTGGTGCCAACTGAAGACTGTTTCAGGTATATTTGAGCTTATTACACTTGTTTGGCACATGTTCTTGAAAATCTATATGCTGCAAATGAATTTGAACTACAAGGGCTGCTGTTTATCTTGTTTTATGGTTTAGTGCTGTGATTCAAGTATAGATTGGTCATGTCTTGCTATTCCATGTTTGATTTATATACCAGCAAGTCTATATTGATGGATTAAGATTGTAGAAGTTGGCTGTTGGACTGAACTATAGTTTGCCTCGGTTTTGACTGACCAAAACCCCAAGGCTTTTCTATGAACTACTGTTGTGAGGCTTTTTTTGTGAACATTGTGATATACTCATGCTGTAATCCATCTGTTTAGCATCTAAGCATGTGTGATATACTGATACAAGGCTGTGGATGGGATTTCTGAATTATTGAGACTCGAATTTCCATATTTACCCCTCAAACCTTAGCTTTCGCAGAAAGGGTATCTGAGGTAGTGAAGTGGATTGTTGAGGTGTCTAACCTATCCTACTATAGGTAAAGACTTGTGTTTCATTGATTTACATTTGTTACAATGTATTTGGTGAGTTGTTAAAGCTTGCAGGGTCCAAGCAAGGTAGGACAGGGGGAGTGCAGTTTGCACATTGTGAGCTACTGTGTAGAGGCTGTGAAAACTAGTGTCTAATCTTATAAAAGGGTGTGTGCAGAGAGAGACAGCTAAGTGTGTAACTACTTGTATACAGCTAGTGGATAACTTATTGGCTGAGGCCAAGAACCAAGGTTTTCCCTATTTGAGAGGATTTCTTTGTACTTCCTGTGTTATAAGCCTTGTGAGTTGTTGTTGAGCTATCTGTCATATGGAAAGGATTTTAAGCTGACCAATTCACCCCCCTTCTCAATCTAACAATTGGTATCAGAGCTTTGATCTGCATTGTAAGATTCTAACAAGCCTGTAGCTGCTCTTAGCAATGGATGAAGATCAAGTCACAAACAAAGCCCCAGGGTTTGATGGCTCAAATTATGATTCTTGGAAAACCAGAATGGAAGCCTTCCTGATGTCTCAATCCTATGATGTGTGGCATGCCACTATATATGGCATTATAGTTCTCAATCCAGCCAATCCCTCTGCTAATGACAAACTTATTGTGGCTAATGATAGTAGAGCCAAACATGTTCTATTATGTGCTTTGAAGCAACAAGAGTTTACTAGGATAAAAAATTGTAAAACAACAAAAGAAATGTGGGAGTCCCTTAAGGTTGTTCATGAAAGAAATAATATCATTAAAGAAAATAAGATACAGATTCTAAAAGTCTAATATGAGAGCTATAGAATAAAGGAAAGAGAGGTTGTAGCTGAATATCTATTCAGAATCAATGACATAGTCAATAACATAAAGGCACTTGGTGAAGATATCAAAGACTAATGTACGTAAGAAGATACTGAGGTCTCTCACACCTAGGTTTAATGCCAAGGTCACCATTCTTGAAGACAAAGACCTGTCACAAATGAAGATAGATGATTTACAAGCCTCCCTCACAGCATATGATATGAGGATAGGTGCTCTAACTCATCAGAGAAGATAAGCTGCACTTAAAGCCAAAGAAGTAGCTGAAGAAGTTGAACCAAAGTCTGAAGATGGTGATCTAGAAGAAGATGAAGTAGCCTACTTGGCTAAAAAGTTTAGAAATTTCATATTCAAGAAGTAAACTCAACCATAAAACCTAACCTGCTATGGTTGTGGTAAGACAGGTCACTATGTGTTTAACTGTCCTACCTCAAAAGGGCAAAAACAAAGAAGAAATGAAGGTTTTAACACCAAAGGTAGATTAAGAAAAAAAAAAAAAAAACACTTGTCTCAAACTGGGATGTTACTCCTAAAGAAGAGAAACCTGGAGAAGTTCAAGAAGATGAATACCTCTTCATGGCCATCCTTGAAACACCGCAAGCTTTTGTTGAAAGTAAAGAAGAAAGTGATTTTGAAGTTAAAGAAATTCTGAAAGAATGCGAAAGACTTGTAGTGAAGTGTGTTCAACAGAAGTCTCAAATCAAGAAACTAAATTCAAAACTGTTGAGGTCCAAATAGCTACTTATTAAACACTTTATACTTAAGCTATCAACTATGTGTTCTATATCTTTAACCTTCTTTGGCCTTCTAAAGTCTAAGTTCAACTCTGTGTGGACTACCAAAAGGTGCAAAGATGAACTCTCTCAGGCTCTTGAAAAGAGATCTTTGAAGATGATTGAAATTTAGAAGCATTCTACTAAACAATTGGGTAAGAAAGGTATTGGTTACATCTGCGATACAGCAGCAAAATGTAAATAGACTCACTCTGTGTTTGTCAAAGCCACAACAGGTGAAGTGTATGCAAGATTTCCTATTATAAAACCCTCAAGAAACAAGTTTAACATCTGTGATAACACTTACAACACCCTGAAGCTCAATGGGAGTGACTTTGTTATATCAAACCTAAGGAAATTCAAAGTTACTAAGATGTATGTGAAGAAGTTAGATCAAACTTATGCTCAGAAACTTAAAACCAAAAGGTCCCTTGTGAAATCTCAATGGTGTGGATGTCTAAGAAGTTGAATGTTGTAAGTCGGCTGGTCTACACAGCTTTTAAGGCTTGTAATACTAATGACAAGTGGTATGTTGACAGTGGTTGCTTAAGACGTGATAATTCTAAATATGTTTCCCTAAAGAAATTTGATGGTGGAAATGTGGTCTTTGGAGACAACCAAAAGGTTAAAATTGTAGGAATTGACATTATTAATAGGTCTGAAGAATTACCCGAGATCACTGAAGTTTTACTTGTTAAAGGACTCAAACACAGCCTTCTCAGTGGGAGTCAACTGTGTGACAGTGGTAAGAAAGTGTGCTTTAATAAAGAGAGGTGCAATGTGGTTGGTCTCAAGTCTGAACAAGTTCTATTCTCAGCTCACAGATCCTCTAGAAATGTGTATACCATCACTAAAGAAGTTCAGACAAATCAATGTAATTTGATAACCTTTGATGAAGTTGTTGATAAGCATCAAATATTGCATATTTAAGCGCCCTTAATTGCATTAGTTAAGCCCATTATTTGAATTATGTATATAGATTTACTTTTGTGTTTTTGAAGGTCCAATTGCAAAAAAAGAATAAAAATAAGGTTTTAAAGGGTTTTGAAGCACAAGTCATTTCAGGCTTACATTTCAAGTGATCATAAAAAAGAAATAACATGAAGAGACAATGGATGCAATCGGAGCTAAAGAAAGAATTATGTGCCAGAATAGCATGCCTAGCGTCCGGACACAAGAACTAGCGTCTAGACGCTACCTTCCATAAGCTCGCATCTGGACACATGCTATGGCGTCCAGACGCCACATCATCAGGGCCTTGTGTCCGGACGTCGGTCCTCGAGTCCGGACGCAAGACCACGGGCCCCCATGTTATTTTAGTCTAATTTTGTCTATCTTGAGTGGGGGATTCAAATTTTAAACGAGGATTTGGAATTTTAAACTCACGTAAGGATAAAAGAGGGGGAAAGGCTGAAAGGCAGGAGTCTTGGGTTTTGATTTTGAAAAGATACAGAGAGGGAGGAGGATTTTTAGGGTTCTTGGAGGAAGCTTGCAACAATGGTGAGAGAGGGGATTCTATTCTCTTCTTCAATCCTGGAGGTTGTTACCATATTCATGAGAGGCTAAATCCATTTTCTAGGGAGTTGATGTAACCTAGCCAAGTAAACATGGTTTGATTTGTATTTCAATTTGGGGATTTTTATTATGTATATTCACTTTCATAAATTAGAAGTATTTACATTGACTTAATGTACTTTACATTGAATTGATGCATGTGTTTATCATATGAATATATATTTGTGTTGATTTGTTATCTTGTCTTAGAAATCATATTGATACAAGTATTACACTTGATTTCCTATAATGACAATGGGAAAGAATTTATGGAATGGTTATATTGGCATGAAGTTGAGCATTTATATAAGTTATACCTAAGGAAGATGGATCATGCTACACCCTTAGATTAATGTAGTTAGGTAGATGGTCTATACCAACTGAAGATAATCTATGATTTTTAATTAATTTCATATGCTGCAACATACTATTGAAGGACCTTGATAGGCCATGCCTAGGGAAGATAGTTTATACCATAATCTAGTTTAGGTGGATGAACCATGCTAACCAAAGATGGGTTATGCTTAGTCTTGACTGTATGATTTCTTGACAATGTTGTGGTAGTTTTATGCTTCTACACATCATTTTATATATATAATTGTCAATCACCAAGTTGAGTGCAAGTTTAACATGTTTATGAGGTTGAGGTGAAGTCAATTCTCTAGCCTTCTCTTTATAAGTTCAATCCATTTTATTCACTGTTTTATGAAAGTTAAATTAATAGGTTAAATGACAAACCAATTGATTTATCATCTCTATTATCAAATGGAGGAAGTAGTTGTATAATTCTGTTTGCCATAAACTACCAATCCTTGTGGTTTGACAACCCCCTACTCTAACATTAATCTGCAATAATGAATGTGTTATTGTTATAAGTGGTATTTTTAAGTGGTACACATTTATGCGCATCAACTTTTTGGCGTTGTTGCAGGGGATTGCAGACGGTTTTGTAATCAGAATTTAAAAATTGCTTCATTGTTTGATTGTATATATATATTTTCATATTTTTGTGTTGCTAGGGACTAAAGACTTTTCAGAAGATTTAATTACGAAATTTGAAGTCTTAAGGACTTTGGGTAAGTTTTTGAAGTTCCTAGTTATACTTTGTTGGGCCTTTGTCGAGGTTATTGCAAATTTCTTGTTTTATTCAGAGCAAAGGTCCTTGTCGTGGCCAATTTAATTTATTTTCATTATTTTTGAATTGAGGAGAAAGGGATCAATATATGTGGATGTATTGGTGAAGGGTTGTTGTGATTGTTGTGTTTGATAGTTGATGGTAGGTCGTAGATCATCGTCTTTACCACATCTTGAGGAACCAATTGATATCGCTTTACTTGAAAGAACTCTTAGGCAGTAAAGAAGGAACCTTAGGGATCCTGAAATTTTAAGAGAACTTGAAATTGAGGTAGATAAAATGACTAATGAACATGAGAATCTCGAAAATCCTAATGCTGAAAATGAAAATTTAGCACTAATGACTCTTAGGGACCATTTTGTACCCTCTATATACATATCTCCTTCATGCATTGTCATGCCCAATGTTGAGGCTCATCATTATGAGATCAAATCTACCACAATTTAAATGATTCCAACATATCATGGGTTTGATAATGAGAATCCTTATAAACATCTTGATGAGTTTTTGGAAATCTGCTCCACCATCTAGATGAAGGATTTCCCCCAAGATGCAATTCATATGATTCTCTTCCCATTCTCTTTGAAAGATAAAGCAAAATATTCGTTGAACTCTCTTGTTGCTAATTCCATCACTTCATGGGTCCAATTGCAACAAGAATTTCTTAAAAAGTACTATCATGTGAATAAGACCAATCAAATGCGTCGTTTCATTCTTAGTTTTTCCCAAATTGATGAGGAAATATTCTATAAGACATGGGAGAGACTTCAAGATTTTATGAGGAAGTGTCCGCACCACCAAATTCCAAAATGGCAATTGGTGCAAGCTTTCTATGATGGTTTAACAAAACCGCATATGGAATTAATCGATTCTTCATGTGGGGGCATGTTTATGTCCAAAAATCTAGATGATGCATGGACTCTACTTGAGAACATAAGTGAAAATTCTATGCAACATAGTTCTGATAGAGCTTCTACATCTAATGTGGTTAAAACCTCAAATTCATGTCAACCACGAACTCTTAGGCAAGAATTTTCTCAAGTGGATGCCATAGCCCACAAAGTTTTTCAGCTTGTGGCACCACATCTCTTATCTTCTCAGAATTCTTCATCAAGTGCTATGTGTGCACATTGCAGAAGTACTTTTCATAATGTAGAAGATTGCCCCACACCGAAGCAATTTTCTGAAGGTATGCCAGAACAGGTAAATGCCATGTTCTCTCGCCCTGGAAATAATATTTATTCCAATACATAAAATCCAGGTTAGAGAGATCATCCAAATTTCTCGTGGAGGCAACAAGCCCTACAAAATTCAGCATTCCAAGGTCATGGGCAATCAAATCAATCTAATTCTCAGTCTGTGAACCGGCCATTTCAAGCTTCTTCAAGCTACCGTCCTCCTTCATATAATGTGAATTTTTCCAATCAAAATCCTGTTCTTTCTCAACAATCTCAATTGGATGAGCTAGTAATTTCCAATAAGTAGATAACGGCTACTCTTAGTGGTTTGCAATCAACTGTGCAATTGGTTAATACTCATTCCCAATCAGTAGCTAATATTGAATCCCAATTGGGACAAATGGCTAATTCAATAAATCAACTTCACAAGAAGGACATAGGAAAACTTCAAGCTCAACCTGTGGTGAACCCGAAAGGGCAGTATATGATTGATGAGATCACTCCTTCGAATGGATCAAATCTTGAGCAAGTTCAAGCAATCACCATACTTCGGAGTGGAAGAGTTGTGGATAATAAGGTTGATGAAAAAGCTGAAATTCTTGCTCCCAAGGATTCAACTTCTTCATCCAAAAAATTGAAAGATAGTCTGGAAATTCTAAATCCGCCAATCCACAATGTTGAGACATCTTATAGGCCTAAGGCTCCTTTTCCTCAACGCCTCATAGAGTCCACACATTTTGGTAAAAAGGACAATAAAATTTAGGATATGTTTGAGGTCTTTAAACAAGTAAAGATCAACATTCCTCTCCTTGATGCCATTAAGTAAATTCCACCTTATGTAAAAATTTTTAAAGATTTGTGTACTCAAAAACGCATTTCTAAGAGCAATATTCCAAAGAAGGTGAGGTTAACTAAGCAAGCAAGTGCTATCATTCAGCATAATACACCTCCAAAGTTTAAGGATTTGGGTGCTCCGACAATCTCGTATGTCATTGGAGACAATGAGATAGAAAAGGCCTTCCTTAACTTAGGATCAAGTGTAAATCTGATTCCTTACTCAGTATACTTGCAACTTGGCTTAGGAGAACTTAAATCCACTTCAGTTGTCTTGCAACTTGCAGATAGATCTATAAAGAAACCTTGTGGTATCATTGAAGATGTACTCATTAAGGTGGAAAATTTTTACTTCCCGGTAGACTTTGTGGTTCTAAATACTGAACCAGTCCATAATCCAATCAAACATATTCCTATAATCCTTGGTCGGCCTTTCTTAGCTACAGCTAATGCTTCAATTAATTACCGAACTAGGGTGATAGATATTTCTTATAGAAATATGAAGGTAAAGCTTAATATCTTTAGTGCTTCTCAACGTCTTCAAGGGGAATATGAGTGTTTCTCTCTTGACATCATTGATGAAATGGTTGGAGAATCTTTCCCATTTATTTTAAGTTAATATCCTCTTAAAACTTGCTTGGCTCATTTTGACTTTAAAAATTATGACATTGATCAATTCATTCGTGAAGTCAACTCTTGCTTGAAGCCAACGTAATCTTAGACTTTCCTCCTTGGAAAGTGCCAAAGGAACTTTTTACATTAATTTCTAGCACGCACTCCTCCTGTCCTTTCACTGAAAGCTCTACCTCAACTTGAGTTAAAGACACTCCCGGTTAATCTCAAGTATGTATTTTTTAGTGTAAACAAAACTCTTCCGGTCATCATTGCATCGAATCTTTGTAAAGACCAAGAAAACAGCCTTTTAGTGGTGCTACAAGAGCACAAAGAAGTTATTAGTTGGTCGGTGGCTGATTTAAAAGGAATTGACCCTTCCATTTGTATGCACTGCATTCTTTTGGAGAAAGAAGCTAAACCTTCCCGAGAGCTGCAACGTCGGTTGAATCCTAACATGAAGGAGGTTGTCATGAAAGAGGTAATCAAGCTATTAGATGCGGGAATCATTTACCTTATCTCGGATAGCAAGTGAGTGAGTCCCACTCAAGTTGTTCCAAAGATGTTTGGCCTCACCGCTATTGAAAATTCAACGGGAGAACTTGTGCCATAACGTACGACTACTGGTTGGCGTGTGTGTATTAATTACAGAAAACTAAACTCTATAACTAGGAAAGATCATTTTCCACTCCCATTCATTGATCAAATCTTAGAAAAGTTAGATAGTCAGAGTTACTATTGTTTTCTTGATGGCTATTCTGGTTATAACCAAGTGGCTGTAGATCCTTAAGATCAAGAGAAGACCACCTTCACTTGTCCTTTTGGAACTTTCGCTTATCGTCGCATGCCCTTTGGGTTATAATATTTTCTTGAAGTATTCATGGATGATTTTTCTGTGTTTGGATCTTCTTTTGACTCTTGTCTCTATTATCTATCACTCGTCCTTCAAAGATGCAAAGATACCAATCTGATTTTAAGTTGGGAAAAGAGTCACTTCATGGTGCAAGAAGGGATTGTCCTGGGACATATTATCTCTAAAAGAGGGATTGAGGTCGATAAGGCAAAAGTTGAATTAATTCATAGCCTTCCTCCTCCCTCTTCGGTGAGACAAATTCGATCCTTTCTTAGTCATGCAGGCTTTTACCGCCGTTTCATCAAGGATTTTAGTAAGATATCTCGGCCTTTATGCCATCTTCTGGAAAAGGACACTAATGTCAACTTTGATGAAGCATGTTTGGAAGCTTTTAAGAAGCTCCGTTCATTACTCTTGTCTGCCCCAATCATGAAACCACCTAATTGGTCTCTACCCTTTGAGATTATGTGTGATGCATCTAACTATGCATTAGGTGTTGTTTTGAGCCAGCATGTGGATATAACTCCTCATGCTATTTACTCCGCTAGCAAGACTCTCTCAGATGCTTAAATGAATTATACAATAACTGAGAAAGAATTACTAGCGGTTGTCTATGCCTTGGATAAATTCCGTTCATATCTTCTTGGACCTAAGGTCATTGTTTTCACAGATCATACCGTATTGAGACAGCTACTTGCAAAGAAAGAGACCAAACCTCATCTTATTCGTTGGATAATCTTACTCCAAGAATTCAACATTGAGATTAGGGACAAGAAAGGAACTGATAATGTAGTTGTAGACCATCTTTCTAGGCTTCTAATTGAGAACACTTCTAATTTTTCTCGAGTTTGTGACTCCTTCCCGGATGAACAACTGTTCCAGATTTCTCATGAGTCACCTCCTTGATTCGCTGACATTGTCAACTATCTTGCGGTTAGGAAAATCCCATCAAAATGGTTTAAGTAAGAGAAAGACAAATTCTTCGCTCAAATCAAAAATTTCTTTTGGGAAGACCCAAAATTGTTCAAGTACTGCCCGGATCAAATAATCCGGAGATGTATTCTTGAATCCGAAGTCAAAATATCTTGAAATTTCTGCCAAACTCTTGAATGTGGTGGACATTTCAGTGCCAAAAAAACTTTATCTAAAGTTCTTCAGAGTGGATTTTATTAGCCTTCATTATTCAGGGATGCCAATAACTTTTGCAAGTCTTGTACGCAATGTCAAAAGCTTGGGGCCATGTCAAAAAGGGATATGATGCCATTGAACTCCATTTTAATTATCAAAATCTTTGATGTCTAGGGAATAGATTTTATGGGCCCATTTCCATCTTCTTATGTTTATTTTTACATTCTCCTAGCAGTGGATTATGTATATCAATGGATAGAAGCTAAGGTGACCATAACCAATGACCACACTGCAATGGTCCTGTTCATTCAAAAGAACATATTCAGTCAGTTTGGC